AAGATGTAATCCACGTCCTCGACAATTCACCCATGAAACTTGTGCGACTCAGTGGCCTTCGGCAGGCTCACAGAAGTGTGCGACCTTCTCCACAGTCCATCTCAGGACATGCTCATCACCCCTGAAAGATTCTCTTTGACTTTTGGCATCTGTGTTCTGTGCGAACGCTCGGCCTGTGCTCTAAGGCAGCGGTCTGCGCTGCAGGCCTCATCCTCCTTCGGTGCCTTCTTTAACCCTCAGAGGCACGGGTGAAATTTTACTTGAACAAGGATTGCTGAGGCTTACTTTTTTCGTCGTTTCTTAAGTTCAAAACCATGACAGGCAGGGCTCTGAAACTGTGATCCGGACCCCTCTGCCCTACAGAGCTCGTGGGGCCATGTGCGCTGGTGGCCTTTCCCACTTTCCTAACTGAGGTCTTAGGAGCCACCCTTGTTTTCCTTGCACCTGGTCATATATGATTTGTTTTAAATAAAGAATTCTTGAGCTTTAAAGGAAGTTTGAGATTGCTACCAAGTCCAAACTCGTTCTGCTCGCCGCATGACAGGCTAGTAAATCAGGAGGAGGGGTGTTGGGGCAAAGAAGAACGACTTTAGCCAGCAGACTAAGCTGGGGGACTAAAGTCCTGGGGAACCATCTTCCCCAAGTCAGAATTCAGGCTCCTTTTATACTAAAAAGGGGAAGGGGAGGTGGTTGTTGCAAACCTCTTCGTGTGGGAATCCTTTGTTCTTACAGCTGTACACGTGGGTCAGGTCAGGGTGTCCCTATAAACCTCCAACAAGACAAGTGTTCTTTTCTTTTCTTTTTTTTCTTTAACTTTTTATTGAAGTATAGTCAGTTAGAGTGTATCAATTTCTGGTGTACAGCATAATGTCCCAGGCATACATATACATACATACACATACTCGTTTTCATATTCTTTTTCATTAAAGGTTATTATAAGAAATTGAATATACTTCCCATTGCTGTACAGAAGAAGTCTGTTTTTTTATCTAAACAAATGTCATTTTCTATTCTGCAACTTTTTATCTCTGTATGAATGGGAAAATGTTATAACCTTGAAGGTCAGAACCTTGAGAATGGGCTCTCCTATGTGTTTCAAGCTCTAGGCAGCATTCTTTTACAGAAGGTGCAGAACCAGCATGACTAAGCCCAGGAAACACAGCCCAGGGTTAGAGCCAAAGGAACAGATCAAATATGGAGTCAGGTTTGTTCTTCCCTGTTACAAAAGGATTCAGAAAGATTTGAAATTCTGTCTGTTTCTGTTCTTAAGAACTTCAGTAGATAGCTGGGGGCCGTGCTAGGGAAACGGGAAGTTAACTCCATACAGAGTTGCCAGAATGATTGTTCCGCGTGATCTCATTGTGGAAATTCTTTGTTTTCTGTGGATCTTCAAACAGAACTGAAATTCTGTCAAAAGATAAGAACAAACATGAGAAACTTCCTGAAAGTTTGGAAGACTGCTTAGAACTTGGTTTGGGTCTCCTGTGGTTTCTTGGTGAAGTAACAGAACAAAGGTTTCCCAAGCGGGCTCTGTGCCTCCTTCTGACCAGCAGGCTGTGCTCCTGGCGCTCGGTGAAAATAAGTAAGAGGAAAACAAAATGTTGGAACAAAGGGAGGAAATCTGTAAACATCAAGACAGCATGAAGTCTTGAGTTAGAACAGCCTGAATTTGTCAAGTACCAAAACTGCCAGCCAAGTCTGAGAAGCAGTTTTTTAATTAAAAAACAAATGGATAGGATTAAAGTAAGGGCTCTCATTTGGACGTAAAGCCAAGTCATGGGTGGTGCACACTATCTTTATAGGTAACACTGATTTTTAAGTTAATTTAGAGAAGAACACAATCACATAGATGGTAAACAGACTGGAAGTACTTACCAATCAAGATAATTAACCTAAAAGCTAAATGAGTCAGTGGGAAAGGAAATGTTGCAGAAGGCACCCTAGGGATAAACGTTAGATTTGGCCTCATTTACAGTTGCTAATTGGGCTGCATGGGCCACGTGAGGGAACAGGGCTAGTAGAAGCTGAGCTGGTTCCGTTATTGCAGGAAAAATGTGTTACAGCTCGGTTGTGACAGCGACCTGGATCCAGGCGAGAGACCAAGCAGCACTGGGAGAGTTGGAAAACTCAAGGTTTATGATGCTAGCAGGCCCAGAAGAGTTAACACTCAAAGCTCTGGACCCCGTCTGTAGGTTTACATAGGCTTTTATAGGCTGCCAGCTTACACGTTGCAACATCATATGCAAATAAGGTATAATGAAAGTTGACTAATTAGGAATAAGCTTTGTAGAAATGGACCAATCCGGAGGGAGAGAAATAACCAATCAGGAGTGAGCTCCTTGCAAATGAAGTACTACAAGTGGACCAATCAGAAGTTAGGGAAATGAACCAATCAGGAGTGGAGGAAATAACCAATCAGGAGTGGAGGAGGTAACCAATCAGGAGTGAGCTCAAGGAACCAATAGAATTTTAGGGGTAAGTAAGCCGTTTCAGAGTCAAAAAGTGAGATAGAGGCTCTGGGCCACGGAACTGGATGGTGCCGGCAGGAGAGTAGTGGCCGTGCCTGGGGGCCCTGCTGGTCTTTTTATGGGGCTCCGTGCCTCTCCGTGAGCCCTTTGTTTTAAAGGGGGGGCCTTAAAGCGGAGAGGTAAAGAGCCCGGCCTGGCCCAGCATTCGGTCGTGGCTCCGCTGCTTCATGGCTGGTTGACCGTGGAGCGTTTTCACCTCACAGTGTCCATGGCGACATCAGGAGGGGCGAGTCCGGAGCAAGGAGCCAGCTAGGACGGAAGAGTCCCGTTAAACCCCAGTCTCACTTCCCTGTAAGCCCCGTGTCCCGCCCCAGGCACTGTGGCGTCCTGGTGAGTTGCCGCCGGGTCTTGGGCAGCTGTCAGACTGTGTGTCCGCTGAACTGTCCGAGTCAGAGTTTTGGCTAGAAAACGATGAAGGATGTGCTATAGGGATGTTATTTCCTGTCCTCCTCCCTGCGGTCTGCTCAGCAGACACTGCCTCTGTTTTATATACGTTTTCCTCAGGGGTGTGAACACCGGCAAGGCCGAGGCCACGTCCTGACTGGTCGCCGCCTTTGATGTGACAGCTGTCCTTCCCTGGTGTGGAGCAGGGACTAGCCAGGGCCAGCTCGCCGTGGTCCTCCTCCAGGCCCAGGAGGACGCCTGCCCCCAGAGGGGCTGGGCTGTTTCCCGGGGCCGCCGTGGCGAGCACCACCCTGGGGGCCTCGCACACCTGTTCTCCCCAGCCTCCCCTAGCTTTGCAGGGTTCAGTGTCCCTTGTCCTGCAGACCCATCACCCCAGCCTCCGGCTCTTTCCCACGTGGCAGCTCCCTGGGTGCACATCTCTGGGCTCACATTTCCCTTTTTATAAGGACACCAGTCATTTTCGAGTAGGGGCCTCATTTTAACTTGAGTCCCTCTGTCAAGACTGCTCCAGGTAGAGTCACATCCTCAGTTATGGGGGGTGCCTTAGCCTTGTTGCCGTTTGTTCGCTTGGAGCAGGTTTGCAGTACAGTCGTCTGGGTTTTTCTCCATGATTTTAACTGCTGTCTCTGCCGTAATGTCTCCTGCATGTTACTCTCTGACGTCTGGGGGGCCCCACATTCCGGTTGACTGCGTTGCTACCTTGACTTGCTCGTGGGTTCCTGACGCCGGCGCTCACCGCGGTCGGGCGCCTCCTCCCGTGTCTGCCACTGAAGAGGAGATTTCATGCTAGTTCTTGGCAATCTCTGCCTCTAATCTTATCTCCCTGAATTTCCATGTTCCTCAAGTGGCCAAAGGGTCCTGGAAAAGGGAAAGCACCGCGTAACCATTCCCACTCCCGCATCTCTTGTTGCTACACTGCCCTGCGGATTATTTATCACAGCGTCTTAACTCTTAGGAGAGGATGCTTCTTGGAAGCTGTGGTGTTTTGTCAGGAGCACCTGGATGAGAGCGTTATTATGTTCACTTGAAATGTGTGTTCTGAACCCATGCTTTGGTTTGACAGCTTTATTGATATTTCAGTTTGAATAATCATTTATGTTTGAATAGTTGGTTCTTCAGAGGTTTTGCCGTTTAAAAAGTTGTGCACTTTTTCTAATCAGTGATTCACCAAGGGCTTTATCAGGCTTGGTGTCAATAAACTTATAAACTTGTTCTTCTAACACACTTACAGTTGTGGCAGATACTCCCTTGGCTGGAAGGTTTCATAATTACATAGTGAAACATTTAATGAAACGTTTTTTGCTGTGATGATAACGTATAGACATACACACCACAACCATCTGTACGTAAGTGTGCGTATGTGATACATATATACATATTGGTGAGGTACGTGTGTAAGCCATGTACACAAATGTGCTAACTTCTGAAAGTATCTCATTTTAAATGTATATTTTATGTAGTGAACTCATCAGTGAGCCCTAATAAACTGGAAATGTGGGGTAAAATGGGGGAATGGCTCCATTTGTGTTTATCACATCCTTAGAGGCCTCATTTGAAAAATAATTCCCTAAGTTATTAATGATTAGGAGCACTTCCTTAATAATTAGAAATACTAACACAAATAATGACATTTCTAATTGAAATACCAATTTTGACAAGCCCTTACTTATTTCCTATTAAAACGGCTTCCTGAAGGTATCGCAGGAAGTTAATGAATTGCTTCTTAATTAAATGTGAACTTTTCTCCTCTAATATCCAAGTGGAAAAAAACTGAAATACGATGTATTCAAATTGCTCTGTACTAAACTGAACATTAGTGATAATGTAAGTATAATATATAGTAATGTCACACATAAGTGTGATAAGAATCTGTAACAGTCATAATGGAATTTGCTAATTTTGAATACTGACTTATTTTTTAAGTTCATTTTGTTCCTGAAAATTCAACTACTGAAATAATGTCTTGCCAGCAGTTTCTAACTAACCCAAGTGAAACTTTCCATGAAAACCTTAAACATTGTCAACCAACTAACCAATCAGCCTGTCTTTCCTTCTCTCATCTTGTAGCCTCTCAGCAAGTACCCTGCTGTGATGAACGACATCTCCTTCTGGCTACCTCCTGAGAATTACACCGAGAACGATTTCTACGACTTGGTCCGAACGATTGGAGGAGATTTGGTGGAAAAGGTCGATCTCATAGACAAGTTTGAACATCCAAAGTGAGTAAAAAAAAACTTTCTGATTTTATCCCCTTTTGTCTCAATGTGGCAAATAGCATACGGAAATACATAATACAGTTTTGCTGAAACCCAGTGCACAGGAGACAAATGTCTTCTGAATTTATAGTGAAGATACAGCGTATCAGAAAACTCTTTCTATATCGGTACTTTCTGAAAGTCTTTCTAAAGTGCATTTTTAATCTTTCCTGCCTTGTAAACAAAGTACATAAAGCAGAAGGTTTTAAAGACCTTGGAGTTTCTCAGTATTGTTTTGGGAAGTGATTTCTTGCCATATCACATTCCAGGCACCAAGGAAATGAAGCAGAAAGAGCAGTTTGTGGAGAAAAAGCTGTTTTATTAGTCTCTCAGTGAATATTTATTAAGTGCTTACCACTCGCTGAGGCCTGTGTAATGTCCCAGGAATTAAGAGTGTTCCAAACAAACTTGGCTCTGCCTTCTCTGAGGGTTTACAGTCTTGTGGGAGAAGCAAATATTAAGTAAATAACTACACAGATTTTTGGTGAGTACTGTGAGGGGAAAAAACATGGGTCATAATCAAAACACTGATTTTGGTCAAGGAGTCAGGGAAAAACCTCTTTGAGAAAGTGAGGGAAGGGGAAGCAGCATTCTAGAACGTGCATGTGAATCCTGGGGGGCGTGTCGTATGTGACTTCAGGAGGGGCAGAGAACACGGCAGCTCAGGGAGCTGGGGCAGTGGGCGAGAGGTGTGATTGCTGGGAAGAGGCGTGGATGTGGGGTCAGGCAGGAACCAGGGCTTGCAACATCTGACTGGGAACGCTGATTGCAGTCAGAACAGGGGACCATCATGCGCCCTGACCATCTGGAAGCTTGCTCAAGGACTTAGGGAAACAGTATTCCCTGAGCTCTTGCATGTGCAAAACTGTTCATCTGTTTATACTTAAATGACAGTGTTGTTGGGTATAAAATCCTTGGCTCGCCCATTTTTTTAGTAAGGATCTTGTAAGTGTTGCTCAATTGTCTTCTCAGGTTTAACTTGAAATAAAGAAATCTGAGGCCAGACTCCACCTTTTTCCTTTTCTCCCTAAAAGATTCTTTATCTTAACAATTTAATAACTGTGTCAGCATCCATCTCAGTGTTGACTGGTCTCCCTGGTGAGTGTATTGTTGCCTCTCACCAGATTTGGCTCTGCCTGGGTCTTAGGGAAGTTTTCTTGAATCATATCTGTTAGGATTTCTTCTGACCCCTCCTTCAGGGATCCAGACATGCATGACCAGCACCTCCTTTGACCTCTGTCTGCTGTTTTCTCTCTCATGTTTTAAACTCTTTCTCTCCACTTCGTTTTGAGAGTTTTCCTCGTCAGTACCGTCTCTGTCCCCCCAGGTCTTCTGTGGTCGCTTCTGACGCCTATCCCATTTCCATCTTCAGTTACTTTGTTTTCCCCCTTTTCTGAGTTCTTCAGGCTCACGTTTCAATTCTCCTGTTTTCTCCCTGCCTCTTCCTGGAGTCATTTCTGCTTTGTGATTTTTCCTTCTTAGAGGAATCGCTTCATTTGGTTTTTAAAAGTCACTGCAGAATATTTGGCTAGAAATTTCACATGATCAATGACAGCATTTTTCTATGACTTCCCTGTTAGTAAGTTTTTCTGCCACTTTCCTTATTTTTTTTCCCTGTATTTTAGTAGCTGCATCAGTGGTGTATATATAGATGCCTTTCTGTCACTTGTATTTGAAGGCACTGCATTTTCTGAATCAGCATTTGCACAAGGCCGAGGGCCAAGGTCGGGGCTGGCGTGGTGGGAGGGGCCAGGCAGTCATTCAGGCTAGTTGTTTTCACAACTGTAAGGTGTTTTTCCCTCCACTGCCGAAAACCGATCTTCCTTTAAGTACGGCTCATTCATCTCTTGGATTCTTTGCGTGGGTCTGCCTCCCACCCAGACCCGCCCTTGTTACACACAGATTTACCTCTGTGCAGGCCCGTTTCAGCGCTTGGCAGTGACACAGGCTTTGCACTTGAGAGTGTAAGCCCGGCTGCGGGGAAGGCATTTGCGCTTGTGCTTGCTGAGCTCCGCCGCTCTGTTCCTGCTTTTCACTCCCTCTCGTTTGGCTTCTACTTGACTTCAGCTGCTTTGGCAGATTTTAAATATATTTTGGAGCTTACAGACAGTATTTGTCTGCTAATGTTACAGAAAATAGAACATATCATTTGCCGGGGTCCCTGGCACAGGGGAGGTCCTGCCTGGAGCGTGGACCTGCCTTCCTAAGAGGCGGGGATTGCCGTAAGGTTCCTGTGGCAGAGATTGCTAGTCATCGCTCAGTATCCAACCTCCCACTGTAAAAATAAAATAGTCTTGTTTTTATCTCAGTAACTTACCAACCAACTAAGAGTCTACACTTCTGAGCTTCCAGAGCAGCAAAGTGGATCTCTGTGACCAAGTTTAGCCAGTGATTTATAAGCAGAAATTTTTAGTGGTATTTCCAGAAGTTTCCTTAAAAGCTGGACTGAGGCTGTCCTTTTCCCTTTTTGCTGCCTGGAAGTGGATGTAGTGGCTGGTGCCTGGGCAGCCATTCTGGACCACGGTGTGACCTTGGCAATGGAAGCTGTGTGGTGGGAGCAGCAGCATCAGAGTTGCCTGAGCCTCTAACTCTGGGGTCGATTCAGTCCTCAACTTTGATGTGAGAAGGAAGTATCTTGTTTAAGCTGCTAATTTTCAGATTCTTATCAGTACAAACCTTGCTTTTATAGGCCTGAGGAAAGGAGGTAGTTGAGGGAAAGAACGCGTTATGTAGTAAATGTAGCCCCCTGTGTACTGGCTCTCGGGGAACAGCTAGGGCGGGGTGGCAGGCTTTTTCTGTTGGGATCAGATGGTGAATATTTTTGACTTTGTGGCCCCCATGGTCTTGGTCACATCTCCCCAGTTCTGCCATGATGGATGCAGCCACAGACGAAGCAAAACTGAGTGAATGTGGCTGTGTTTTAGTTGCACGTTAATCACAGAAACAGGTGGTGGGCTGGATTTGGCCCATGGTTTGCGGGCCCATGATATTGGTGGGAACAGAGAGATACAGGTAATTTTTTAAAGGACCCCCTCTCGCAGTTTGTGAACCCCCCCCAGGAGGTCTTTCCAGGAGCGCCCTGTGTCCTCCTGTTCTCCTGTCTCAGTGGGTAGAGCGCATGCATGCCTGGCGTGCGCGAGGTCCTGTGTGGAGTCTGCAGTACCTCTATGTAAAAAAAAAAAAAAGAGCCCCTGACTCGAGTGGTGGCAAGGGACCCTGTGCTCGTCAGTGCAAACCTCAACCTCAAGATTTATTTCCTTCTCTGAACATGTAAGTCAGGTATTTCCGGGTAGTCCAGAAGGGCTCTGCCCCCTTCTTTGCCTCACATCAGAAACTATGAGAAATACTGGGACGGAGTGAAGGACAGAGGCTCGTCTCTGAATAAACAAGTCGTTGGACAAATGAGGTGTTATTTTTTGAACAAGAACAGATCCCAAGATGTTTCAGGGGGAAACTGCTGAGCAGAAGCCTAATTTCAAAATGTTAGACGAGTGAGCAGTTTTTTTCTTGATTACAAGTAGCAGTTTGAGTCCTGAAGGAGGATAGATGTTTCAGGTTTGAAGAAGGTGATGTTTTGTTCCAGTTCATCCCCCAGAACCTTCTCCCAGGGGCAACCTTTGCCACTTAATGTGCACCAGTATTTTTAGAGTCCTGAAATTTCATGTCACAGAAAATGTAACAGTGATTACCTCTGGGGAGGAGAGCTGGGGTCACAGGGTGTGCTTTGATACCTTTGGAATATTGCACCATATGCATGTACTGAATAATGAGAACACCTCAGAAAATAAATTACGTAAGTCAACATGAGAACCTGGTGGGAAGAGTGTAGCCCAGTGGTAGAGTGCGTGCTTAGTGTGCACAGGTCCTCGGTTCAATCCCCAGTGCCTCCAGCATAAAAAAAGGAAGGGAGGAAGGGAGGAAGGAAGGAAGAAACCTAATTATCTCCCTCCCCCCCAAAAAAAACCCCAAAATTTTTTTAAAAAGAACCTAGACATCATTTTTTGATACATTCATGAGTACACTGATTACTTTAGTCTCTCAGTCTGTGCAACTTAAGGAATTGTGGTGTGTGCTGTTTATCGTCTCCACTAGAGCAGTTGCTCAAACTGTTTCTTAGCCCAGGGTTGGAGAAAGAGCAGAGCGGAGGGAGAGGAAGCCGTGGTCTTCACCTGCTTCCCCTTCATCGGGGGTGCTACTCAGCTATCCCTGAGTTGTGGAGATGGGCTCTGACGTGCCCTGGACTTGGGTGGAACCAGCTTGGCTTGAGCCGAGGGCAGAGCTTCTGGAAAGTTAGAGTGCAGGGATTTAAGAGAAGCATTTGATTGCAAAGATGAAGGGGTCGGTGGTGAGCAATGTCTCAGGTGTCTGCGGCAGGGGGCTGGCTGGAGTTGTCCCCAGGTGTCCTCTAGTTGTCCCCAGACCAGTTCTGCTCCGGGATTCACACCGTGGTCCCGGAGCCACTGCTTGCTCTGCCACGTCCTATGGTGCAGTCACGGACCCAGTTTCCTGAGCCTGTGGGCGGTGGGGCAGGGTCTGGTGGGGGAGGGCTGAGGGGAGCAGGCCGAGCTTCGGACACCAGCCCCAAGTCTCCACCCTCTGCCGCCCTTTATCTTCCTAGCAGCTGGTTCTTTGTGGTAATTTTTAAAAATTCAGCAGAAGTTGTGCTAGAGCACTTGCCATCATTTGTAACAGAATTCTGAGAGGGGCCGCAGCATGAGGGCCTGGCCCTGCCTCTAAGTGGGTGTGGGGTGCACGTCACACGCTCACAGCTCCTCCTGGACCAGTGGGGGCACAGTGTGGATGCGGCAGTTCGGGTCTTGTCCTCCCCCCATCCCTCCAGCCTTTCCTGGCCTTCCTTCTTTTCCTGGGGTGTTGATATGGCCTTGCTGTGTCGAATTGCACCCAACAGCAGAGCCAACACGTAGAACATCTGAAGTAGGAAAGGTTGGAGATGTGCCCGGCAT